AAAGATTTGCTTTAGTTGTCTCTAAACAGTTAGGAAGATCATTTATGTACAATAGGAATAAAATAGGCCCAAGGTTAGAGCCCTGAGGTATCCCGCATTTTATTTGTCTAACAGCTGACATCTTGCCATTCACAGAGCATATTTGGCTTCGACCAGAAACGTATGATTCGAACCATTTTAGGCTAGTTCCTTTGATACCATATAATTCAAGCTTTGATAAAAGAATATGATGGTCGACAGTATCAAAAGCTTTTTTAAGGTCTAGAAATAAAACTCCGCTAAGTAAACCTCTGTCCATATTGAACAACCATTCATTTGTAGAACTAAGCAGTGCAGTTTCAGTAGAATGTTGATGACGGAAGCCAGACTGCTGTTCCACAAGAATGCCATTCAACCTCAAGAATGAACTTAGCTGCAGGTATACCAGTTTTTCGAAAAGTTTAGCTACAGCTGAAATAACAGATATTGGCCTATAATTTTCACAGTCTGCCTTATTTCCTTCTTTAAATATGGGGGTCACCTTTGCTAATTTCCAATCATTAGGGAAAATTGCTCTTTGAAGGGATACATTGAATATGTTCACTAGTGGTCCTGCCACAATGTTAGATGCATCTTTTAGTAACCTTATACTAATACCATCAAGCCCTGGAGATTTCTTAGTTTTAATTTCATTGAGTGCATCTATTGTTTCTTGGAGTGTAATGCTTGTAAAGTTGAATATACTACCATCAAGAGGAGTCACAAAGTTCATTGGATCAGTGCAGTTACCTGTGATCTTGTCAGACAACGTACTGCCAATTGTGGAAAAATATTGATTGAAGGCATCTGCAATTTTATCATCGTCAGTAATAAGTTGGCCATTTATATCTAGTTCTTTAACCTCTGAAGTTTTAGGCTTTTTGTTTAATAATTCGTTAATAGTTCGCCAACTTTCTTTGCTATTTTTAGCATTGCTTAGTTTATCTCTAAAGTATTCTTGTTTAGTTTCTTTTATGAGATTATTTAACTTGTTTTACATCTCTTGTAAGCCTTATCATAATACGCAGATCTTAATTTAATCGATTGCTTTTTAAGGTAATCCCTACGATAGCTCATTTGCTTAATTTCATTTGTCAGCCACGGTTTATATTCACTCTTGACACGACGTTGTCTGATTGGTGCATGTTTATCTGCGACGCTCAAAAACTTATTTTTAAAATCGTCCCATAAGGCATTTGGGTCAGTTAAAATAGCTGAATCCAAGGGCAAACCAAAAACCTCACTTAGATCGTTGTTAAACTGATGGCCGAGTTGGGCCACTTCTGACTTCCGAGTTCTGACTTCCGACTTCTGACTTCTTACTTCCGACTTCTGAGTTCGGACTTCTTTTACTCCGTTATTTTGAACTCATATAACTCGAACTCTTTGCTTTTTCGAACTAATTATTTTTTCCTTTGAGGCTTGACTCATGAAATCTAGCCCACTAACTTAAGTTTGAAATGGTGGGGTAACCGAGGTTCTACTGTGGTGGATAATGAAAATTTTGTCAAATGACAATATCAATTTGATAAATTCAGATATACGAGGTTAATTTTATCGCCAAAATAGATAAATTTCTTATCCATATGATTATATTGGTGATTGCTTTTTCTGGATGGTGGAAAAGGTGATTGCTTTTTCTGGATGGTGGATTTTGGAAAGTTCTTGAGCTAAGTTTTGGAAATAAGTGATGCAAACGTTTAATTAAATTTTAATTAGCGATAATCCAATTTAAATGTCCCCTACGGCTAAATTTAAACTGTTGAGACAGTGAAATCGTATTGGTATAGACAACATCCCGTTGAACATACATAGTTTTTTTCTACTAAAATACATACGATATCAAAAATAAGTATTGCTAACAAAGGTCAAAGAATGAAAATACTGTTGGAAACACGGCAACATAAAATTGAAAAAGTGAAATAAAATAACGAATTCGGATATTCTGGATAAGAAAATTATGATATATTTAGACGTTATCAGCAAAATTAATGCAGAATCGAAGCAATCGGTTTGGATTTGCCGTGTTTTATAGCTGGAAAGGCAGAAGAAGTCAGAAGTCGGAAGTCAGAAGTCGGAACTCGGAAGTCAGAAGTGGCCCTCCTCGGCCATCGTACTACAAACGTGCTGAAGCAAGCGTATCATGTAGCATACTTGCTACATTTTATTTTAAAATGTCGCCGCTTGTGTAATTTTTTTTATGCATAACTAAGTCATTACACATGATTATAAAGTATAAACATTTACAACTAGTGACTGTGACATTTTTGACTGCCCAATATACATTTACTAACAATCGTACCAACTTATATGATGATGTTTCCTTACGTCGCACGCGAATACACGCATATCAGCAATAAACATCGCTTGCGTACTATTGTTGCATGAGTTAAGATTGAAGTTATGTGTATTTCTAGTCTACAGGATGGCTAAAATAAACTGGACGACCTCCTTACCTGATTTTATAAAGTCCAAACATTGTGATATTTTGGCTACCTCATTCGGAAATGAAATTCAATAGCCTATTCAACAACACACGCGTGAGTGAATAACTTTTGACAATAATTTCTATAATTTTAGACAATACTGTTAAAGTCATTAAAATTCCTTCAAAATTGTTTTTATTTATTTTGATGCCCTTTAGAGTTTTGTGAAAAGTGCGAGCATTTTCTACATGGTCATCAGAAACCTGATGGCGAATAGAGGAAATTAGCTAGATTGTATTTTAGTTTGTCCCGGTGTACTGACCACGCACATACATGTATGTGATGTGTACATCATAGGTTATTTTGATTCGCGACTCGTTAGTGGAAAGCAAATATAAAAACGCGGTTTCATGCTTTATAGTGTGAACACAAAATGTGCAAGTGAGGCTGACTAACAGTCGGGAAATCGCGATGATTTCCGACGATGTCCGATTTCGATACGAGTGTAACCGGAACGCGTTCCGCAGATGCGTTCCGGTAACAGTGGAACGCAAATGGAACGCAAATGGAACGCAATTGGAACGCGAATGGAACGCAAATATGGAACGCAAATGGAACGCATTTAGGAACGCGTTCCGGACGCGTTCGGGACGCGTTCCGAACGCGTTTTCTGTTAGGTTATTTCTGGGCAGTACTGTAAAACGCCCCTTTAATTTCATAACACGCCCCATTCGCGCGTCAATTGTCAAAAAATAACCAATGACAGCAACCCAAATATTAACAAACAAACTCGCACTAAACTGTTGCGGGGTTTTCTCTGCCAGAACAGAAACAATGTGTAAATCGCTGCATTTTAACTCCAAAACAGCAAGCAACGCAGTCAGTGATTGCCAAATTTGCAAGTGCTCATTTTCAACTAAGATCGGAACTGGCAATTTGACAATTTAGGACGAATTTCAACAGAAAATCCGCTTCAAACTTCAAATCGTAAGGGAAATCGTGCGACCACAGTAGCAACAATGTGTGCTTCGCTGTCGCCATTGTTATAAATAAATTTTTCACTTATCAGATCGTTTGTGCAATTCTTGTTGGCGGCGGAAAGTACGAAAATTTCAGTTATTTCGTTTGGTAAAGAACTCTACAAAAGAAGAGAGCGTTCAGAGCGTCCAGATCGTTTCGTTTCAAACGGAAATTACCGTATTCTGTTTAATCGCTCTATCAGTGAAGCCTTGCAAATCGCAAAGTGTTTCGAATAGGCTTACGTGCAACTGCCTCTAGTAAACCGCGAAAAGCGCTGTTTTCTTCCGTGCAAGAACAGAGTCAACATCAACCGAAAGGAAATTTTCTTGAGGAACATATAACGTATCAAGTCTGTTTGAAATTAATGAAACTCAACTACTCAAGTAAGGTTATTATAGACAGTTTACCCCAGTCGTAATGTTGCTATTCCAACACTTCGCGACAAGCAATCCCCATTGGTATAATGGCAAAAACATCTCTTCCTTCAAGTGAACAATAAACAGTCTGTTCTTGTTCCATTCTTAATCGAAAAAAGTGATCAATTTTCGAATTTTAAGCTTATCGAGAGCCTTTGTGATGAATCACTGATCTAATTATAGAATCCAACAGCAAACAGCCAATCAAAATGCTGCGTTCGTGGGGGAACGCGGAAAGTACAAAATACCGGGCCTTGCTTGCAGGCCCACTATTCTTCCTTGGGCCTGCACGCGGGCTATCTTTAATACGTCATTAACCATAACCAGCATGTGCGGTATATTACATTACTTTCCATTTTGGCGGTAAGTAAGTGTTCAAAGGTAATAATAGAAGAAACCACTGAAAACAGCAGCTCAAAATTAGTAGGCGTACAAAGTTTGATAAATACAGTATGAATACTGAGACACAGGCGTACAGGAGTGGAAAATTAAGGGGGACAGAAAGAAATTTGGCTGACTTTTTTGTATTTTGTTTACTATATTTAAATTACATTTTGCCAGAGTATTAATTAAAAACATTACGTGCTAAATTTCTTGTGGACGAGAGAGGCGGGGTTGTTGGAAAACTATACATATTCCTTGCATTTTCGCCTATTTTACAAATTTCGGCCTTTTACATTTATTTCCCCCATCATTTTGCCCAACTTATACATTTATAATACGCCCAACTTCAAATTTTCGGAGGGAGGGTGCCACCGCCTGCTTCCTGCATCGCACGCATATGCACTGAACTTTAACAAATTGCGAAAATCAAATGGAGTTTTGAGGTTTTAGGGGAGGAACGTGCCCCAATATAATGTATTGTATAGTAATACTCCCAATTTGAAACTTGTTATTGATACCCTTTCAAACTTTGTATACCGATATTTTGAACCTATCGTTTATTGGTAAAGTTCGTTTCCTTATTTTGTTACTTTTTAACACTGCGTCCTAGTGGACGAATATATAAGAACTTATAGACTTGTACCGAGTCTGCCTCTCAAAACTGGGTTTACTTGTTTTGGGAATTGAAACTCCTGAATCAAAAATCTCCAATGACATGCAGACTTCAAACAATTTAGCACTCTGGCAGGAATCAAACCTGCTGCCCTGCAATTCCTGTGCAGCGCTTTAACCACCTGAGCAACAGAGAGACAGTTGTCGAGCTCTAGCAACATGATCGTGTATAAATACTAAGGTGATGTCAATGTACGGTGTACGAGTAAATATCAGGATTTGGGATATCTCACTCGATATAATTAACTGCGTATACAAATGTATAAAAATTCCACTCGCAATTCCATCTACAAATCCATTCAACAACTATTAGTTTTTCGAATTAGATGTCCAAAATCCTGAGAATTAGAGACATAAAGTAATATGAACTATACAATAATTTCTTTTCACCTTTTTCGCTCCATTTTCTTGATAAGGAGTAAATTCATTATCACCACTCTTAAGTGAAATTGTAAAGTCAGTCACAAAACTGTCCACCAAGAATCCACCTTGAATGGCAATACCAGTCAGCAGTGTTGTATGCAGGAAGTTAACAGTTACAAAATCATCACCCTCTGACAAACCAGGTATCCAGCTACGATGAGACTTCAGTCTACCATAAAATGGGGCATGATCATATTTCCACGAGGACGAGCCAGTAATTTGAGAATCCTCAATATGTCCAGCTTCCATGCCCAAAGCATTAGGGTAAATACAACCTAGAATGTAAACGGTCTTAAGGAGTATGCACAAGTCACGATTAGGGTTGCCACAATATTGTTTTACGAAATTTAAAAAACAAGTTTATTAGTTTAATTATAGTGCCTCTAACTCAACGTTTTTGCCGTCTAATTGGGAAGGTAATTATATACTATACGGCAAAAACGCCGAGCCCGCTGCTCAACAGGATTGCACAATGTTTTGTTGCCCACGTTGTTCACACTTGTCAACAATATTGAACAATATTGTTGAGCCTAAATGGGGTGTATCAGTATTGTTCAATATTGTTGACAGCTATGCACAATGTGGACAGCAAAACATTGTTCAATCCTGTTTTCATCAGTATTGCATCAACCTGTGCGTTTTTACACGTGTATAGAGTGAATCGTTTAATACTCGGAGTTAGATTTCCTTGCTTTGTTTATGATCGAGTTATTTCATTTTTTTATACATAAATTATTCTACATTTTATCACGCATAATGTCTTACAATTGAAAGTTTTTTGTCTTAGTCATTATCACATGAAAACAATTCGTAAAAATAATGAGTGTCAGCCTATGATTATTATAATTTTGAACTGTCAGTGCTAGTGACAGTTAGTCCCAATAACAAGAAAGCTTCGGATTGTTAGTATAGGTAATAGCATGGTTTCGAGTGCAATTTGGATATAACATGCACGAGTAAGTTTTTCAAAGACCTCAAAATAGAACGAGTCCGAACGACGAGTGCTATTTGGGGTCTTTGAAAAACTCACGAGTGTATGTTTATCCAAATTTCACGAGAAACCATGCTATTACTTATTAATAATTTACATATTAAAATTGTTCGAGACAATTGTAGTTTTAACTTACGCGTTTATAGCGAACATTCCCGCCACTGGCAAAGTTTTCCTGGCTTTATTATATCGGCACATTATACAATGCTAACAGCTTGAAAATTCCACTCAACTATGTAATTTTTGTTAGTCTTGTTTAAGATAAATGCTTTTCCATTTAAAAATAAAGATAAAAGCCATATTTTCCACGCGAAAGGAAACTTTTACTTTGTGTACCGCGGCGCCATGTTTGTTTTGTTTTGAAGCAATCTGTGACCGTTACTTCTTTAAACTAAATTGCTTTAAACTGATTGGTTAATTTAATCATCACAATGTTTTTCCACCTATCAGATCAGTTTGTTACAGATTTTTGCACTGTGATTACAGAAAATTGCACTGTGATTACAGAAAATTGCACTGTGATTACAGAAAATTGCACTGCTGTTTGGGATTAAATGCACTGAAATCAACCAATCACAGTCGAGTAATATCTTTATGTATATTATTAGGGACTGATATAACTATCTGACGAATGCAAGTTCTTCTTGTGTTGTTTAGGTAGTTGCATCCCTATCAGCCTGAAGCTTTCTTATCATTATTGTACACGAACCAACAATAGACAATTTTTAGTCTTTTTAGTTGATATTAGTAAACAAGATATTTAATTTTGTGCGATAAGTCGTTGTGCATGTGTAACGCAACGTAACGTAATTTACATATCAAACGAAATAAGGGAAATTACACTCTAGTTTTAAATGTGCAGTCTCCAATGAGACAATGCATATGATGACGTTAGTGGCATTTTAGCTAACTATGGATGTGGTGAATGGCAAATGGTGACAATCTGACCAACCCTAGAAAGTGGAAATAGAAAATTTTTAGAGGCAGATTTGACAACTTCCCGCGCAGACATCAAATCAATGTTAAATTGGAAAAAATATTTCTTTTATTTTTTTGGCCAGAATTAGAGTCAGACGCGTTCTCTTACCGAAGTTACAACCAGCAAATTCCAGCCTGAGTCCAGCATTTGTTGTCCAGGTTTTAGGATAGATACGAACACGGTTGGTAAATATGATACGAGTTAAAACATGTCGCACGATAGAGCTTCTGTCGTAGTTGCCTGAAAACACCTGAACAAAAAAGGAATAGGATAGAAATTTATAAAATCCGCAATAAAAATTGCTTATTGACAATGGATTGTCCCCACGATTTCAAGCCATGGTTTAGTGTGTAGTCAAGTAAATTCGGTATACAGAAACTATTTAAGAAGTTGACCTTGAATTTGACGGCAATTGTAAATTGACTTATTTCAGAAACACGAAGTCAAAGCTCAACGTTCTTAGGTTGCATGCATCGTCATGCGGCTCCTATTGATACTGGAAGCTTTTGCTTCTGAGAGGGCTACCCTGCATTTTAATTATAGGTTTATTGCATTGTATTGTATCGTATTGTAAGAATATATTTAAAATAACCAAAGAAATTTTCTTAATTTACATACTCTACTCTTGATAGTGTAATATGTAAATATTAATCAATATGACATATAATGACTTTGTATATAAATGTACTGGTTTTCATCAAGAAGCGCATGTCAATAATGTCCAAACACTTATTGTGTGTACCACCTCAATACTAAGGTGGTCCATGCAGCTGGCAAATATACACATGAACTGCCCAACATTTTCAATTCTATAGTGTTCTTTGCAAAGTTTTGAAAAAAATTGGTAAATAAACCAATCGCGAAATCCGAAAATTCAGGTTTTTACCGCACTTTTGGTTTTGAAAAAACGTAAGTTTTGAAAAAGTTTTAATGTACAGAGATACTACAAGTTGTTTTATTTGAAAAGTGGTAGTTGCAATAATTCACTTTTTTTGAATTCGGAATTAGAAATCTTGCGAAACAACAGGTGTTCAAAACCGGAAGTGCAGTCACTGCACTAAAATCGAGAATTTGGGGGGCTTCCGCTATAGGTCCATTCTTTAGGTATATATGCACTCTGCGCATCTATAGATACGTTGATGTCACTGTGTTGGTACCAAATGCGACTGGCAAGAGCAAGCTCAGGTGTATAAATACGGTGGTCATCACGTATGTATGTGTATACCGAGGTGCGGAGATGAGACGTGGAACTCCGAAACATGCATGTCTGCAGATTGCACTAGCTTGGAGTAGACCAGATCCGATTTTAAAACTATTTTACCTTTACTATATCGTATTCTGTATAATCCTGGAAGGTCTTCTCATCACTGGAGTATGAAACACTATAGCTCGTCACCCAATTATCTTCATGGTACCGACCTTGCGACAAAATCTCTCGTACTTTAGTTCTTATGATGAAATCAACTTCCAACCAAGGATACAAATCATCTGACGTCGGCGCCCAACTACTTGTTGTCAAATTCAATCTGGCTTGAGATGCTGTACCGCTTCCGTCAGAAGAAGAATTGATTTGGATGTCTGAAATCCTGTACGTCGCTAATCCAAGATATTTGGGATCCTTGCAATCTAAGAGAGCAAATAAATGCAGGTATGTGAACGTTTAAATTCTATGCAAGTTCATACAGTAATTTACACTTTAGATCTCGCTCTATGTATAGACAAGACGCCTACGCAGACGTACACTCCGGCTACGGCCCAGCATAACATAAACTAAGGCAAGTCATGGTGTTATATAGAAAGACGGTGTGCTGTAAAAATATAGAAAATATACGTTTTTGTGCTTTATTAATCATATTTTGTCTATGTATTGAACGAAGGCGGACAGTAGCAAGGTAATCCATGCGAGCAGTCAGATTACAGAAACATTGAAATGTCGATAAGTAGGGCAAATTGTGAACGTATGTCGGGAAAATGTTGAACGTATGTTTGGAAGAAGTGGGGAAATTAAGCTGAAAAACAAGAATTAAATATGTAATATAGTAGTAAAAAATGCAAGAAAATAGGGAAATGTGGCGAAACATTTTTAGCTTATCACAGTTGAGTGAGCAACATTTATACCCAAACCAACGGCGCGGAGCTCCTTGGAGGGTACTAATTCCGCCCGGAGAAAATAAATTTTCTCCCGGGGAAAGGAAAGCGCTAGCATTAGCAAAGTCCAGTGCTGTAAGTAACTTCGTTACAAGCAACGAAATTACAAGTAATCGTTACTTTTTGAGTAGCTGTAACGGTAACTAGTTACCTTCAAAAATAAGGTAAATGTAACTGTAACGAGTAACATTTTGGCCTAAAATGAAACGATAACTCGTTACTTTTATAGCCAACGTTTACGTTACGTTTTTATTACATTCTTGCGGTTAAAACTTACAATTCACCTCTCAGTTCTAGAAATTTTCCTCACGGTTTTCTGCGACAACGCATCATACGTTAGTGCTTAACACAACTGAGAGATCCATTAGTGATAAGGTTACATAACGTTTACAAATAAGTAACGTCAATCTGCTGCCACTAATCATTAAGTTGAAAAAACTGGGGGTTTTCTTACTTCATAAAGTTTCAAAAATTTCTAAGTAACTTGTAACTATGATGTTTTCCGTGTTGGTGTTGGGCTAGTATTCCAAAGGTCGTAGGTTCGAATCCCACCGTGGCCGGGCATATTTTTCAAGCTCGCCCGGTGTAACTCAGAGTAACATCACAAATATAACTTGTAACTACTTACAAAAATATTGAAGTAATTTTATAACGGCAACTAGTTACATTTTTTAAAGTGTAACTTTTACCAGTAACAAGTTCCTTTTTTGGGAATGTAACTGTAACTGTAACTGTAACTAGTTCCAAAAAATGAGTAACTTTTACAGCACTGGCAAATTCTAAAGCAAAAATTAAAATAGCGTGTTTTTTGACATACTTTGTGTCCTTGTAAAAGGAAAATTATGTCCTTGTAAATTGAAAAGTGTGTACTTGGAACAGTCTGTACTTCGTCTTGGGAATAGAGCATCCAAGAAAGCCCGGAAAAACAATTTCCAGCCATTTCCTACAGCAAATTTAGTTTAAAAGCGAGTGCTGGTTTCTGTAACATGATTTCTGTGGATATTGCCATTATTATCAAACCGCCTAATAAGTATACTCCTATAGGAAAATAATTGAAACCTGAAATAATTTTACAGCGTTTCTTGACATGTTATAAAGAGAAAACCCAGAAATATATAAACCAAAAATATATATCTGGCTATCATCAGGGAATAACCACATGATTACTTTAAATTTGGATTTTCATTACACAATTGAACATTTAGGGTTGAATCATTTAGACTGCATGATTGTCAAAAAGTCTCAACGATTGGTCTAATGATTGTTAAAAAGCCTCAACAGTTGGTCTAAATAGCCCTGCAAAGTGCCAAAATCTGCACTTCTGTGGACCATAAATTTTAAAATATTTACTAATACCGCACTGAAATAACTGAAATGCAGTATATATGCATTAGTCACATTAGACTCAAGTTATTGACGGCCTTTATTTTACCTAATTGAAACAAATTTTTGATAAAGAGACACTCAACGTTAGCGAATATTCAACATTCAATAAGCTTTTTCTTAGTCGACGAGTATTTGTGCTCAAACTAGTCTGCGTGCCACACTTCCAAGTGATTGTGGCCCTTGACGTGGAGGTAAAGTATGTCCTTGTAAAAAATCCTTATTTTAATGCCTGGTCTAAAGTTCATCAACGATCGTTGGTGTGAGTGACCGTGCGTGAGTGGTCATTCTCACTGATCTCAAAATACAGCGGACTGTCATGAATAGAGAACACTGATTGGTACAATTTAAAATTTGCACTAGAAATACATGCATGCAACAACCCTCGCCTATATTCTCCAAACATTGTTTCAACATGAAGTATTCGTAATTACGCCAACACTGAAGGCAGGCTCGCGTAGTCATGGCAACACGATAATTGTTTTTTAATTTTTTGTACAAACCTGCAAACAATAGATGAAACTTGAAGATTTTTAAATACAGAACTATCAATTTGTAAAATATATAAAGTATAGGGTTTTACAACCCATGGGTTTTACAATTCAAAACGAAACTCTACGTAAAACGTTTGTAAATGTGAATTGAAATCAACTGCTTTTTGCCGATATTAAACTCTTCAACTTGAGCTTCAACTTATTACTCGCACTTTGGTATGAAATAAATTTAAATTGTACAGGACGCTAATGAAAATAATTTGCTTCCTTTTTATCATGAACTTCTACAAACGTTAATTTAACTAAGAATCTTTCGCATACAATGCATATAGGAAAGATTTAAACAACAAGAACAAAGCTAGTCTATAATAATAATAAAAAGTCATACATAAACAATTGAAACAAACTTGCCCTATATACTTTAAGATTTCTCATACTAAATCAATATATTCTTATCAGTGTTTACGTTTAAAAATTCAAAAAATGTTTTACAATTAGTTATGTGAAACGATTTTCCAAGCTTTCTTACATGTATTTTTTATAGTTTTCCCTTCTTCACTCCTGGCAAACAGCCATATTTTGAGATCAGTGAGATGACCACCCATACACCATGCGCCCGCGATATTTGATGAATTTTAGACTTCTCTAGTGCATTCCTTTCCCCGGGTGTAAATACCCGGACGGAATTAGTACCATCGCCCCGAGCTAACGCCCGGAACGGCGAATTATAGCGACTTGGGAATTATATTGACTGCGTGACGACAGCGAAATATTGATTTGATGACTTCTTGTAAATATATATTTTATTTTTGCAAGATTTTGTAAATTTCAAAAGCTTTTTGAAAGAAAAAGACAACAAAAGAATTGCTACAGAAGGGAACAAAGGCGCGGTTGTTAATAACGAAGCTAAGTTTTAAATATAGATGCATTGTTTGCTTTATATTAGCTAATTGCTTTAAAGCTGATCGTTGCGTATATACTTTAATTTAATTAAATGAAAAAAGAGAACATGAAATTTGAGTGTATCTTTATTGATTACCCCTTTTTATCTTATTAAAATTTTTAAATAAAAAAGAAAGCAAAGTTATTTGCATGCGAGAATTTGAAATCATTTTATTTCAAAGTCAACGTTTATCGGTAAAGGCAGTTTAATTTTATAAGGAACATTATTTTTTAAAACGTTTTGCGAAGCGTTTGTGGTTGAATTTTACATTAAATTGAAGCTTATATTGTGAATAATAACATACTCCAACATATATATGTTTGGGAATTGAAATTGACAATTTTGTAATTAAAAGTGATATTTTGGGGGATTTTTCAATCGTAAAAATATTCTTAGTACAATTATCGTGCTACCATGACGACTATACTTTAACTACTTCATGTTCGAAAAATATATTGGTTTTGTCAGTAACGCGAGGGTTTCTGCATGAATGTATTTTCTAGTTAATAAACTAAGGCGAGGGGTTGTTGCATGCATGCATGTAAGCATGTATTTCTAGTAATGTATATTATTAGTTTAATAATGATTCAAGTTTTTGAAACAAGAGCAATGGCTCTTCGCATACGATTGTCATTTTGGGGCATTAAAGCTATTGCTGACGTTACAATTACACAGGTATTTCATACCTACAACACATTACTCTATTGGCCGCCATGTTGGCTTCTCTTAATCATGGGACTTTTATTTGGAGTTATCGTTCCAGTATTTATAGAGTTGGCAGGAATACATACCTTCATAACAACCGTGAAATTCAGCACGCAGTGCACAACTTCCGGACCATTGCTTTGGATGAAGACGAATGTGACGAGCAAGAATTGGTGGGTCAAGATATTGTTTAACAGTAGAATTACTGTCGAAGTTAGCTGAGAAAACCTGTCAGGAAATTGAATAATAAATATGTTTGTATTATGGAAGAACTAATTACTCTTCGAGTTTGACGACATGAAAGACAAAAAAACTGGTTTATTCCATAAACTATGTCATGTACATACTCCGCCATTTTGAAAATTTATATAAGAATTTGAGAAAACGTTGACTTAATAACATGTAAATATAAGACTTTCAATTTTTCTTAATGGACTTATTTTCTTTATTATTAGCATGACAAAATTACTGGATGCTGATTGGTTGAGAGGAGTACAATTATTTCATTAATTGTACTGCAGTACAATTAATGATTTTCCCAAAACAAACAAAATGGCGGAAACGTACTTTAAACACAAGCGTGTAATGAAATTGCCGTGGAGGAACTAGATGAAAATACAAACAAAAGCACCAAATTTTGGTTGAAAGTCTGGCAGTCTCCAGTATTTATAGAGTTGGCAGGAATACATACCTTCATAACAACCGTGAAATTCAGCACGCAGTGCACAACTTCCGGACCATTGCTTTGGATGAAGACGAATGTGACGAGCAAGAATTGGTGGGTCAAGATATTGTTTAACAGTAGAATTACTGTCGAAGTTAGCTGAGAAAACCTGTCAGGAAATTGAATAATAAATATGTTTGTATTATGGAAGAACTAATTACTCTTCGAGTTTGACGACATGAAAGACAAAAAAACTGGTTTATTCCATAAACTATGTCATGTACATACTCCGCCATTTTGAAAATTTATATAAGAATTTGAGAAAACGTTGACTTAATAACATGTAAATATAAGACTTTCAATTTTTCTTAATGGACTTATTTTCTTTATTATTAGCATGACAAAATTACTGGATGCTGATTGGTTGAGAGGAGTACAATTATTTCATTAATTGTACTGCAGTACAATTAATGATTTTCCCAAAACAAACAAAATGGCGGAAACGTACTTTAAACACAAGCGTGTAATGAAATTGCCGTGGAGGAACTAGATGAAAATACAAACAAAAGCACCAAATTTTGGTTGAAAGTCTGGCAGGACTGGGCTTTGGCAAGAGAATATGATGTTGACATTGAGAAGTACGTATCCAATTTTGTCATGCTAATAATAAACAAATAATCATGCGATGTTGCTCGTACAATTCGGGATTAATAGTACTCGTGATGTTTGGAAATTTGCCAAATTGGACTCGCCCCGGCGGCTCGTCCAATTTTGGCAAAATTTCCAAACATCACTCGTACTATTAATCCCGAATTGTACTCGCCATCGCATGATTACCTATACTAATGGAGCTCTGGGGCCAGGTATTCAAAAGTCAGTTAATTTTGGGTTAATTAACAAAATCTCACACCAAATAATCTTCCCAACGCCTTATTTATAAACAAGGAAATATTTTTCCAGAAATCTTGTCTGGATCAACAGACACAAACCAAAACAGCAGGTTAAATTTTAACCGAGGGTTAGAGCTCATCCAGCTTTGAACAACCAGCCCCTGAAGTTTGGAAAATTACACGACGCGCTGAAGACACAAAACCAAAATAATGGTACCGGTTAAAACCTTTAGACCAGAATTATTCCTAACTCAGCTTTGAACAACCGGCTACTGAATAAGGCCCTATACAAATTTGCCCCCAGGATCTTCGGGAGAAATTGGTATAGACAACCAAAATGCTTCGTCAGCAACTCAATTCATCACCATTCGTCGTGCGGAAAATAACTTTTAATTTACGATCTACTGAAACGAAAACCGGCTTATAGTCATGTAGCATGTAATATCACTCAGTGAGACGCGCTGCAGGAACACATTTTCTGAACCTCTCCGACACAGCTCAGTCAGTGGTATAGACATCAGGGGCCGGTTGTTAAAAGGTGGATAGGCGCTAATCCAGGTTTAAATTTTAACCCACTGTTTTAGTTTGCATATTTCTGCATGTCCATTTTTTTCAAAACTTCTATTGATCCAGACATGGTTTGTGAAGAAATATTTCCAAATTGATAAACAAGCTGTTTATAGGTTCCTTTGAATTTTAAGTTAACCACTTAACCTATAGGGTTAAGCTAATCTCGGCGGTTTTTGAACAACCGGCCCCAGTTCTCACCTAGTAAATAATTATTACTGTATTGCAACTCCGCCAGGTTTTCCAACAGTATAAGTGGGCTTCACTCGAAATTTATACAATAGGGAAACGCTGGGTGGTCAATTTTACACCTATTGCCGCTTTATGCCTTGTAGAAGCAAGTAAATTTCGATAAATTGCATATATTTGATACCAAACACGAGACCAATACTTATAAAATGAATATTTAACTCGATCCGATAAATGTGTTTCCATTTGGAGTTGACCACTAAGCGCTGAACGTATCACGTGACTGAAACTCAGCTATAGATCATAAATTAAAGTTCACTTTCCACGATGAACGATATTTAACTAACCTTAACTTGTCCATTCTCTTCATACGAATCAAAAGTTACTCCATCAATACTATACGACACTTCATAACTGGTGACCCACTCAGCTTCATCATATCGACCCTGGGTAGTAATTCCTCTTACTGTTGCATTGGACTTAAAATCAACTTCAAGCCAAGGATTTCCATCGTCAGCTGAAGCTATCCATGCACCGACTCTTTCACCATCTACCGGCCTCAGTCTGAGTCTAGCATTTCTAGCTCGTGTTGTTTCATCTTTCTCGGATGACGACTTTAACTGAGAATTCGCGATCAAGTTGCTCTCCAAACCAAGCGGAATTGGGTCGATACAGTCATATTCTAAGTAAGAACATTGAAGTAAGGGATAAAGCACGCGGTCGAATCAAAAGCATGCGCGTGTGGTGAAATACTTTTGTGCAAGGTTGATCAAAATGGATAAAGTTGGTAAACTTTGGTCAAAGTTTGAGATAACTGATGGTCAAAGTTCAAATGGTCTGATGGTCAAATGAAATCGTTCGCAATTTTAACAATTTCTAACCTTTGGTTGTGTTTGATATTAGCTCTTATCCTGCCAGTGGAGAAAAACAAAATGGCGGCTTAAACTAAATTTCCGATGTTTTGCGAACGAGAAAACGGCAAATTGTTCTCCTTTTATAGCCTTTACAGGATTAAAAACACAATGGAAAAACTCCTATACAAATTGTTTGCAGGTTAGCAAATAAATTTTTAGAATTTAAAATGGTTAAAAATATGTATTTATTAAAAAATAATCGCCCAAAGGAGCGAAGATAAAAACATAAACAAAATAGAAAAAATATTGAAAATATCCGAAAAGCAAAGTCTTGGAATTCAGATGTCCATTGTGTATATAATAAAACAGTTATTCCACTCACTCTCGTCGAATATGTATGTAATGTATGTAAAACTTTATTTCAATACGCTAACTTCGACAATTATTTACAACTGGTTTCCACGAAGGGCGTATACACACAAAGAGCTAAATGTTAATTATATATAGAACAAAAATATGTAAGAATCCCACCCTAAAACTTTATCATCTTCCTCCCAAACCTCCACCCCCTAAACAAGTACCTACCCACCCTCACGCAAAACTAACCCCCCTCCCGCCCACAATCTATATTGTCCTCCCATCATTTGGTCCTGGAGAAATTAGCTTATCATCTGCTTAGATGCAATTTCGCCATTGTTTTAAATGACGTAATTGACTCAGCCGCCTTGACATCTTGCGGGAGACTATTCCATAGAAGTGCTCCACTGTATCCAAATGTTTTCTTTAGAAATTCCGTTTTCGGTTTTTTTAACGAGAGATCAGTTTCGCTATTGCGTAAATCATAAATATTCTGCGATGCATTTCTCCGAGAAAAAAGATCTTTAAGGTTTGGCGCAGTGTGGTTCCCCAAGACTTTATACATCAATACTAGCTTGTTTTGTTCTCGTCTCCTAGCCAGGGTTTCCCAGCCTAATTTGTTTAGGACTTCAGACGATCTTACATCGTAGTCAGCTCCGGTAATCACCCTTGCTGCTCGATTTTGGAATTTTTGCAATTTGTCTTGAAGTCCCAAACCACAGTTATCCCACAGGGGAGAACAGTAATCAAAATGAGGCTGAATTAATGTTTTGTAGACATCATGTAAGGTTTTGTGTGGAACATAAGGTTTTATTCTTTTAATTGCTCCTATTCCAGCGCTAATCTTATGGCATACAGAATCAATATGTTTCTCCCAACTTAATTTTTCATCTAGATTTACACCTAGACATTGAAATGTATTGGTTTGTGGGACTGGGATTTTGTTAATCTCAACGGGTCTATTTCCTATTTTATTATTTAGATTATGCGTAGATCCAATAAACATGACTTTTGTTTTTTTCCTATGATATTTTAGTTTGTTTTTAGCAAGCCATTTATGAATACTGGAAAGGTCCATATTCAAATTGTCAATCAATGTATCGTAATCATGCGAAGAGGAAGATATCTGAGTGTCGTCGGCATAAAGACATGGGGTTGTCCTTTCTAAAATGTCAGGCATATCATTAATATATAGCAAAAACAATAATGGACCAAGTATGGATCCTTGCGGAATTCCGCATATTATTGTTCTTGCAGAAGAAGTTTGATCATTAACAGAACACACTTTCTTTCTATTCCTTAAGTATGATTGGAACCATTTTAATTCAATGTCGTGAATTCCAAACTGGGCCCTTTAAGCTTCACCAATAATATCTCGTGATTCACCGAGTCAAATGCTTTACATAAATCAAGAAAAACAACTCCATTTATTTTGCCTTCACCCATGTCTCTATCAGCTCATATTCGACTCGAGTTCGTAGAATAACTGTTAAATATTTCAATTACTCATGCGCAATACTATAGTGACACGCTGACAAAAGTGCGTGCATGCGTCTCGCAGTCGGATATGTCCCATATTTCTGGCTATTTTGGGTTGTGTTTAGACATTCTACATAGAAAAATTGTTAAACACTGGGGAAAAAATGTAAAATCCATACAATGACATTTGCAATTGCACCTCCAAATATTTCGATACTATATCCATAGTATGGAAATATACAATTATTATGGATAATCAAAAATCGACTCTATTTCTAATGATGGTTCATACAATTTCTATTCTATGGCCTTCTATGGATGTTCAAGAAATTTTCCAGTGAAAGGGATACGGCAATAGCTATTTCTTTTTTTTTATTTGAAAGAACTTTAAAAATTATATCAAATCTTCTTTACCGTCGCATCTGGCTTAGTTTTTGTGGCTAGCCCGTTCGTGGGCTAGCTACAATGTAACGCTAAAAATGTTTGTAAGATATGTGAAGTTGTGACGGAGATTGTAGACTTTACTTCGGAAACTATTGTTGAGTTCAATATAAAACTGTATGTTATCCAAATATTAGTATGACATAATACTGAGAAACAAATGCATGATGGGATTGTTGTGTTGTTAGTTGAACTTCCTCGTGAAAGTAACTTGCTGTACAAAACTACATTTGTAATAAACGTGAAAATAAAGAGTGATTTCATTACAAATACGGTGTTCTAAGGTCACGGCTTCAACAACTATCGTTCATGGCATGAGGCGACGATATTTACAGATGAAGTATATACTTAATCTATGATATTAAATCCCACAGAAAAGGTATTTAGCAACTTTAATAATACAGGCAGATGCCTCACTTAGCAAATTTACAGTTGCCAACACTGGAAGAACTGCTCGAAGGAATTTTTCACAGCAAACGGTAAGTTAATTTTTGTTATTTCAATCGATATTTTAATATGTTTAGGCAGGCCTAAAATTTGTGAATCTGTCATTTAATTTTATAATATATTAAAACATTGTTGACATTGTCTTTGCTATTCATATCTGCTGTGGACTCTGATTTTGGTCAAAGAGATTTTGATCACGCTGCATATAAAGCATTATAGTGAGTTCATAATACTGTTTTATAATCAAACGTGCTTGCACAGAACAGATCTTGAATTTTAATATATCATTATGTGGGTAAATTTATAAGAAGCAAGCCCATTGCTGGCATATACTACAACTCCCCTATCCACTTGCAGGTATAAAACTACAATTAACACAGAAAACAGGCTGGACTATTTTATATTACTATAGTCTTATATGGTCACTGGCATTGCACTGACTGCAAATTAATGGGTGCTATTATTGAGATGCCGGTTCGTTCAATGGGAGCTCAGGCTGTTTACGTACAGTTGAAGGATCTTGTAGATGGAAATAATTGAGTGAAAATGTATTTACAGTCATTAGACCTAACCAGGAATCTAAGATCAACAGGGACGTAGTTGTTGTTGTTTAAATTATATACCTGCATCATGTGCATCTTTTAGTATCTTTTACAATATTTCATTTGCAGATAAAAGCACAATTCAAAATCATAGTGATGCATGACTGACATCTACAGTACTTCAAACAACCATGTCAACATATACGGTATTCTGGACAATTTGCTGATAATATGGTGAATGGTGATAATATTGGATAATATAGGATATGCAAGTATCAGGGCAATACAACTATCAGACAAAAGTTTTAGTAGTGATGACATAATTGATTGGATGAATTCATTATAAATTACGATGCTTTTAGATCTTACAATAAATAAAAATGTTTAGAAATCTAGTAGTATTACATATTACATTAATGAAGAACTTTGAATTTAACCCATTGCGCCCTACATTTTTACTTGTTTAACGCCAAACCATTTTACTCGTCAGTGGTAAAGCTTTGCAGCTTAATGGGTTAAAGGTTTTATGAAATCTGCGATTCCAACAATTCAAGAAAAGCTAATTAATAACTTGTAAACCAGACACCAGAATATATTTATAACCAGATATGCATGTAATGAAATCTTAGTGAATTACATATCAGTGAAATTTTGAAAAACAATAAAAGTGACATCATTAGTTGCTGAATATATGCTTATTATTAAAGTGTGACTCGATAATATTGTTGGCCAAACCATTGCTACAAACCATATTGCTTTTAAATCGAGTGATTGTAGCCATTTGTTGGCATTGTAAGAAAGATACTGCATCTGTTTTATTTTGTATTATTAATTTTGTATCACAACGAATGTTTGTGGTGAATGTTTATGACAATTTTAACCCCAGCTGTATTCGACAGGCTGAATAGGCTAACCACATGTACGCAGTGCGTACCTATTTTTAAAATATTTTCACCTAAAATAATTAGCTGTCCGCCATCTTGGATAATTTTTATCTTATTATCGGTGATTTTAGTGACATCAAAAGATGGGTTAGCCATATAAAACTAAATCTATAAAATGACGAAATAACAGTAAGTCTTGTTTGAAATAGTTACCGATTAAGTATTATTTTGGGCTCATAAAAACCAATTGCTCTCAGGATAAAATACTTGCGTGACCCCGCTTATGACTTAACCATAGGACTTCACGTGGCTTAATAAAGTTTTTAAAAAAAAATGGAGAATTCACGATTTAAATGCGTATTTTTGGATAATTATTACTTGTTGATAAACAAAAAGTACCTTACTTGTAGAAAACAACATCTAAAGTGTTTGAATTTTCGCACAAAAGTTACGCAATGACGTTTGAAGAAGGCGGACATTTTGGCTTTAAAGTAATTTAACTCGTAAACGACATCTGTGACCCCAAATTATATTTAAAAAATGATCTCTCGTTGTATATTGAATTACATTGACAATTTCAAAAAAATTCTGTGGAGCCGAAATTTTTCAAATTACGTAAAGGTATTACTCATAATAATTTTGTTTGGCTCCACAGATATTTTTTAAATTGTCAAAATAATATTTATTATACTAAGAGAAATCATTTTTTAAAAATAAAATTTGGGGGTCATCGATGTCGTTTACGAGTTAAATTACTTTGAAGTGGGTGAGTGGCGAGAACACAACGACTAATTGAGTTTGTGCCCATGAAAACGTTTTTTAAATCGATTCCTTGGTTAAGGTTGGCTGAACAAAATAAATTTTTGAAGTTAAATGTACAGAGAAGATAAATATTCAAGAATTTTTGGAAAATCAAAAGTATAAAACGATGAAAAAAGCAAATATGGCTTCGTCCGTCGCCACGTGTAATGTTGATCTGAATTTTACACGCTACAAACATGAAGAATTTAAAAACACAAAAGCACGAACTGTTCCTTACGAAGATATCGATTACACCATATATAAACCATCTGCTAATTGCGTGGCTTTTCTAACCATCGAAGATAGGATCATTCACTGGATAAAAATATTTTATTATCGCTACTGCGGCGAAATAAACAATCAAGATGGCGAACGCCAATTATTTAAATCAACTTGGGAAGAACAACTCGCCCAAAACGACTCATCGAAAAGCGATAAAAATCACACTAACTCTGTCCCTCGAAAGAAAAAAAACGGATGAAAATCTTATTACCATAATTATTTACTGCAGTACTGGTAGAATCCAGATACAAAGACGTTCTATGCGTGCGTGGGGCGATAATAAATTCCTTACAATCAAGAAGCTGGTAGACCTAGACATCGATGAAATATCTCCCAATACAGCATCTAAAAACCTTCAAACCTTCATCGAGAATATTACACAGACTCCAACAAAAAAACAAGACCGGATGAGGTCAATGAGATGTCCCCACAAGCGACTCCAAATCCCGCTGGAAAATTGAACCCCGCATGTGAAGAATCTGTAATAATTAAAATCAATGTGGCAAATCTCGAAACAAATTTCGTTTCCTTCTAACAAGATATTCTAAAATCATACAAAGAAATAAAGAAAGACATGAAGAAAAAAGGTGATAAAATCGAAATTTTAAGGAAAAGGATTACCAGTCTTGAGACACTAAATGAGCTTCTTCGAAAAGACAGTGCTGACCTGACTAACATCTCACATAACCAAAGCAATTAGAAAAGAAAGTAAGTAATGCCATTACCCTATGTAAAGATCTTAAACAAAAAACCGTAATTCCACATGATACTACATTTCGAATTTCAGTAGTGTCCTATTTAGCTTTTCATGCTTTGGAAGTATAAAAAACTGAGCCCTTAATATCTTGTTTCAAATATCAGTGTTAAGATCTTGTTTCAAATATCGGTATATTTCGCTAACTTCACAGATGTACCAAGAACTGTCAAGCAAAAGTTGCTCGTGACGAAAAACTAAACATAAAATCTAAGTGCAACTCCCGTTGCTATCTACCGACGAATCCTCCCACCAATTGGTTCCAGCTGAAAAAACCACTGAACCCACATCAACCATGGAATCAAAACCAACCGAACCAAATCCACCCCTAGAAACCCACCTCATATCCACCATCACTGCTCAGAACAAATTCTCGGCCTTTGACAATGAAATCCCTGACATTCCAAACAGTCCAATGCAAACAACACAAGAAAAAGATTCCCTAACAGAAATAAAAGCAGACACTGTTATCCTTTGCGATTCCAATGGAAGGAACATAAATCCAACACTACTGTGCCCCAACACCACCACCATATACCCGAAACGCCCTACAGTAGAACATGCTAGAGAAATCCTTGACCGAAACAAATTCATTGAGCCTAAGACCTTTATCATTCACTGTGGTACAAATGATATTGAAAAACTACCTACTGACAACATCTCCAAACAAATGAAATCCCTCCTATCATCAATCAATCAAAAACACCCTCAATCCCGGATAATACTCTCCTCCCCCACGACAACAACCTCCTTCAAAAAGCCCGAGACCTCAATGAAAAACTAATGAAAACTGCAAAAGAATTCCCAAACTCAACCTCTGTAACCCATGCAAACCTATTCCAGTCCACATCAATACTCTATGACAAGAAACACCTCAACGACAAAAATGCAAAAATGCTTAAAAGTGCATATTATGGAACAAAGAAATCAGAAAAGAGCAAACTTTAAACCAAAACCATATCCGCATCCAGCCATCAGACCTTATCCCCAATCACTACCTTTCGTTCCACCGTACCGCACCATTCATCCGCTTACCCATCAACTTCAAACTACCATCAACACTCCCCCCAACGCGCACACAATGGCAGCCAAAGCAATCTGATGAAACCATTAAATGGTAATACCAACCTGAAAATTGCTGAATTGATGAATTTTCTCCACGGACTACGCCAATGATTTTGTGAGAATCAATTAGTTCCTATACCTTTTTTATTATAAAACTATTACGACATCATTAATCAATATATAACCTAATTAACCATACTAATCATTACACCTAATACCTAGTTTAATATAAATATGCAAAACCTAATGCCCCAAATTTATTTTGGGCCAGTCAACCTTTTTCCAATCATTTGAAAACTTGCAGAGAAATGTTTTCTAAGCTATCAATAAGTGCTTGGAAATAAAGGTTTAAAGAATTATACTCTTGGTGATAAGCTAAGCAATAATGACTTCATTGATAATATAAAAGACCATGATTTGACCTTTTTAACTGAAACATGGTCTAAAGAAATTTATAGCATTCCTGGTTTCAAGGCAATATCCTCACTTACGGCAACCCCTAAATCAAACTCCAGTTGCCGTCTGTCTGGAGGAAATTCGCTTCTATTCAAAAAAGAGTTTGAAAATATCATTTCTATCGAAAAACGAACTAAAAATTTGTTGTGATGTCGAATAGACAACACAATCCTAAACTCTACAAAGGACTTATTTATTTGTGGAGTCTTTATTCCTCCTATGACCTGGAAAATGATGTAGTGTATTTCTGCAAAAAAGGAAATTTTATGCTGCTGGTGGGGGGGGGGGGGGGGGG